TCGAGGGCCAGTTTCTCGAAACAAGCTTTTCGAGGCTTCTTCAAGACAGTTGTAGAAAGAGACAAGTAGCAACTTGCTCAAACAAATCTTTTTTCTTCAGATGTAAAGCCTGGGCGAGTGTGTAGTAGTACTTGGGAACTTGTAGAGAAGGGGTACAAAAGACACAAGCAGACAACCAATAGAGCAAGAAGGCAATGTGCTCAGAGTCAGTAACAGGAGTACCTTTTTCGCCATGATGTGCACTGACAAAGGCAGAATACGTCTTTTTGTCCCAGACGATCGAAGTTTCGGTCATCGGAATCTCTTCTTCGAGAGTGTCAGGAAGATAACGGTCCCCCAAGGGTTTCAGTCCCGTGATGGCAGCGATATCCAAGAGAGTGGGATAGGCAAAACCACAAGGAAATTCGAAAGCACGAGTTTCCATGTTCCAAAAGAAAATAGCAGATAATAACATCTGAGGATCGAAAGCGTTCAGATCGTATTTCGATAATTGAACGAAATCGAATATTCCAGCTTCTTTCCAAATAGATTGCTTCGAGGCCTTAATACGTTCCAACCATTGAATGTGTTTGTCCTTGGGAGGGGGAAAAGCCCGAAACATCTTCGCGGTATCCGAAAAAAGAGAAAGGTCGATGGTTGGAGAGTAGACGAAAGGAAGGGTAGAATCATCTTCCGAAAGTAAATCATTATGAGTCTTCTTCTTGCTTGGATTCGAAAAGGGACCTAGAAAAGCATGCATTGATTCGTCAGAGAGCGAAAAAGGGAGAAGTACCTGTGATTGGAAGATTTTGAGACTAGCTTCCTCCATGCCAGGGATAGGAACGAATGGGTTAGCCCCTTCGCTTAAGTAGGAAAGAGTTGCGTTCTCCGTCAGCAAAGGAACAAAAGGAGTAGGGGAAACCGTCGAAGTCGCAGGTGTAGCCGTAGACGCGGATGCAGCGGAAGTTGCCATGGGAACGAGAGGAAGATGATGAAGAATTCGAAGGTAAAAATGAGATGAGTGCGAGGGTGCAGTAAAACGTACTCAGAAGGGCAAGGTGAAAAGGTTATATGAAAGAGCAAAATGGGCCAAGGCGTAGTAAAAGCCCGCTGTGAAATTCAAAAAGGGGGAATTCAAATTTTTGGGTAACCGAAAATATTTCGCTAACGGACAAATTTGAAATTGCGTCAGCATATCCCGGGGAAGCGGAATCAGTGCCGCCAAATTTACTGCAACAGGTACGAAAAGGAGAAATTTGGAATTAATAATGTCAAAGGCATTTAATTCTTGTGAAGAACACGTACACGTGGCTCTTATCAGAAAAGATGATTAAGGTATTGGAAAACATTCTTTCTCAGTTACCTCGAAACAAATGTTTTCCAGGGGGCATTTGTTAGTACCAGAAAATGAATTTGGAGACACTCGAAACACAAGGGTGCTCGAAAATCCTAGATGATCAAGAGAAGTTTCTAAAGAAGGTATACGAAGCTTGAAGAGAGTCAGGAGATACGCGAAGAAAGTTTTCGTGAAACTCTCGAAATCCTCGAACCAGGAAGGGTGCTGCTCAGGAAAAGGGCTCACAGCCTAGCAACCTCTCAAAGCACAAGCAGAATCAGGAAACATTCAAGTATATTTTTCGTTGGTTACTCGAAATCCCAAGAATCCAGACATATACAAATACACTTCATAACCTCTCAGAATGGAGAACTTAAAGGAGACACGAATTAGGAGCGGTTGAAGTAACATGGGATAAGTGTCAAAGGCTGCAGAACGGTTTGGGGAAGTTAACGAGCAGTTACAAGAATTATCCAGAGACGAGCCTGGGAGCAGGCCACTACGTGGAAGTTTAGAACGGTTATGCACTTCCGGGGTGCGTCAGAAACACTTATTTTTTCCCAAATCTTTGTCTATAAATTAAACGAGCCATGCTCGTAGCAAAGGGTCAGAAATCTAATTCCCACAATACCTCACACGCACTCCGCAGCCTGCGCATAAGGCATACTGTGCATACGAGACAACTTTGGGTACGATTTCTCGACCACTTTTCTTTTCCTTTTTTAGGAGTAGCATAGCATAGCCTAGCCTAGTGTAGTGTAGTCATTCTGAACATGTTTCGTTATCCTTACGAATTGTAATTCTGTTACCATTTAATGACGGATATGATTTCTGCAGTCAATATACATGTCATCTGTTCAATTCACGTAAATTATTACATGCATGAATTTGATTGTACAATTAGCATAGATCTTCTGATGTGCTGAAACAAGCATAGATCTTCTGAAGTGCTAAAACTGGCATAGATCTTCTGACGTGCTCGAAATAGTGAGCCTAGATCTTCTGATGTGCCAAACCAGCATAGATCTTCTGAAGTGCTCGAAACAATGAGCATAGATCTTCTGACGTGCTGTAACAACACCCTAATTTAACTCTATTGGTTGCTTGTACGAATTTATTCTTTCACGGAAAGTCTTCAATTCTGTCATGTCACGAACACGCATAAATTGAAACGTGAACTCGTGCTAGTTCGAACAAAAAGAACCTACGAATGAAATCCTCCACAAAAAAACTCATGTTGCCACGTCAGAGTCTTCCAATAACAAGAAATCGGAACTTAAGTTGTTTCATGAAACAAGCAACTCCCATTGGAGTTGCTCTAACAATATATGAATATATATACATGGTATATATACAAAATAGATAATACAAAGAAATATAGTTTTCTTGCATTATTCTTACAAGGAGTGTGTGTGGAGATTATTTTGAACACCATACTTACCTTTACTTGACCCAACCTCTCTGTGGCACTGATGTGTCTTCCGTCGTGGTTATGACGACATATACTTGTGATGTGAACTCGACATTCATCCACGTGCTATACTTTGTGTCTTGGTTTTGGTTTTTCAAGAAGGGACAGCCAAGAAGACGAATCAAACACCAGCAAAGAAACCCATTAGCTTTGAAGGCTTTCTGGGAACATGATCGAGTTGCACAAGAAAAATAATGCTTTCCCACTAGATTCACTTGCTGAATAGTCCCTTTCATGCTGTCAAACTGGGAACCAACAATTATTTATTTACCTCTTTTTAATTTTACTATTGCTAAATGTTATCAATGTTGGCTAAAGTACAATTTATTTGGCTATCAAATGGTTAATTAAATTAAAATTTAGTAGAAAGAATCACAAGTATTTTATTAGGGACAAAACTTAGGTATAGGTCGTTCGTGCTGTAAATTAAAATTGAATTTATTAGTATACATTTATATTTAATGTAGACTTTATTAATATAATTCTAATTGAGAAAAAATATCAACTACATTTAAGAAATTGTAACTAAATTATTATTTTTATTAATTAAATGTTTAATTAAACTATATTTTATTGAAATTAATCATGTCAATAACATTTATAGTAACTTTGATTGAGTTTCTGCCCGAGACATTGCACTTAGGCTTAAATATTTTCAACAACCGAGATTAAAATATGCATATATCAAACATGTCAAAAATTCTCCTCAATTTTGTATTAAAACTGTTTCAGATTCACCCAAGTAGTCAAATTGAGGATAATTTTCCAAGTACAAACTACGCATTTTAAGTATTTATCCTTCTTTCAAATCTTCCAATAAGAGAAAAAAGAATGGAAAAAAAATACTCTAACCCCCTAATTTCCTCGGTTGACCCTTCCATGCCTCTCTCTAAAACACTATTTATGTGTTTGAATTATAATTAAAAAGGTAAGTATTTTTATTTTTTATTTAATTGAGATTTCTTTTCAATTCATCACACTCAACACAACAACAAAAAATTGTTAAACATGTAAGTAGGGCATAGAAGATCGACTAACTATGATTACAAAATGGAAAGGTATATTATTAGCATCCAAAATTATGTCCCTGACAAGGGTGGTTACTGGCCATTACAAACTGCCTCTGATGAAGGGAAACCAACAAAAGAAAAAATAAAGACAGTCCCATTTCGAGAAGACAGAGACGGTAAAAGAGAGAAGAAATTAAAACAAGGAGGAAAATGAGGGCATAGAAACAGCAGCATAAATGCCATTCTCATTACAGCCACCTAAAGCAAAAGGCCAAAACCCAGTTGGCTTCTCTGTTACCTTGTCAGGGCGAGCTGTCCCTTGTTGATGACATGACTGAATTTGAAGATGTGGAAAGTGGCAACATGTGTTTAAATTAACAAATTATGTGGGCACACCTCATCTGTTCCCACTTTTCAACCTTAATAAGAGGAAAGTTATGATATGGGCAGACACAATTAAGCACACATTCCTTATATAGTATTAGTTGGACCGTCTTATTTAATTTTTTTATTTGCTCTGATCAATTTTTTTTTATCTCCTATATGATAGAGATTTTTAAGTTGATAAATGCAAGTAATGTATAACACAATAGAGTATGTTTGTTCATGCATGTATCATTTTCCTAATAAAAGCTACCCTCTATTCATTTGATGGGAGATTGTACTGATAATTAAAGGTTGACTACATTCAGTCAAGGTTAATTGAACACATCAACAAAGATACCCTAAATTTTCTCTCTTTTAGATTGAGTGCAATCTTTCTAGTTCTACTTTTATTGTATACTTACCAAAAGTCTTGTCTTCTAGTGATTGGAGCAATGGAGGTCATGGTGATAGAATTGCCAGGTAACCAAAAGGTACACTGCCAATTCAATAATGAGGGTTGAACCTGCACTGTTGAGATAAGCCTTTTGTCCTATCTGTGAAACTGAATGTTAGCATTTGTAAGAAGAATGAGAGGTTATAAAATATTAGTGGAATTTCAGCTGAGAACAGAAAGCAAAATCCAAGTTCCAAATTTGTTGGAGTCCATTTTCTCTTTTGCCTTCTTTGTTCTTTCTAAGCTTCTCCATGGATCCTTCCCAAGATTTAGCATCAAAAGGGGAATTCAATGGCACTGATGAGTCTGGATGGACCACTTATATTGGATCTCGTATCTACAGTGAAGTCTCCAATGATGAGCATAGTGTAGGCATTGAAGACTGTGGCAACAATTACAAGAATGCTCATGGAAACACTTATGACGATGACAACAAAGGAGAGAACAGTGATGACTTTAATAGAGATACAGATGATGAGAGTGATGATTCTATGGCTTCTGATGCAGCTTCTGTTCCAAGTCACCTTCAACTTGTGTGTATAAACAGTGAGGGAAGTCGTGGCTTGGATTTCACAGAGCATACAGAAAATGATAATGAGAAGATGCCCTTGACGAAGAAAGCAAACAAACATGTAAGAAAGACAAGATATGAAGGAATGGTTGAAAAAGAAGAGGACTCACTTCTTGTAGCAGATAGTGCTGCTAGTCATGTTTAAGGAAGAGCCAGGTAAGAAAAATCTTCTGTCTTCATAGAGGGTCAAATTAACAAGGTTCATAGAATAATATAAAGACACTTGAGATAACAAAAATACAAAAAAAATAAAAAGTCATACATTTTTTAAGAGTTTTTAAGTTTAACTGAAGAGGGGAAGGGTGGTGTATCTTATGCAAGGAAATGTATCATTAGTCAAAGCATGAACATGTGCTATTATTTCTACAACATAAGTGAGAGGTTAGCAACTCTTTTCCTTTATATGCATTGTTAGCTCATTCACAATTCAGCACTCAGTTTTGCCACCTAAACTGGAAATCAAGCTTATACTCTTTACTACTTTAAGTTCCAATGAAAATAACATGTTTTAATTCCAATTTTTGTCAACATTTTTTAGTCTAGTATAAAAAATCTGCTTCTGTATAATTGACTCAAAGCATTGACAAACCTCCTTAAAAGATGATTTTATGTTTTTTTTGGGCATATATAGGTACATAACAGCTGCATTTTCCAACTTGGAAATATGAAGGGGGTGACAAACCTAAGTCTTCAACAACAAGGAGACTCACTGACCAATCATGCAGTGTAAAACTAGTGTACAAGCCAATGGGGCTTGGAGATAAGGTTTATGTGAAATAAAATAGTAAGTATGGTACGTACAAATTTGGCAGATCGAAAAGGGTACCTACTAGAATCATATTTAAGTATCGAACATAATAAGAAGAAGCAATCAAATGTTTATTTTTATATTATACTGTGATTCCTGGAAGGTCATTCAAGATAGACGGCAAAATCACCATGTATTTGGGAGTAGAATGGTTGTTATTAAATCAATGTGCATTAAATGTTTCAATGATGCAGACTAGTCTTCTTTTTCATCTTTACTATCAGATAACGATAAAGAGTTGGAACTTCATGTGCACAAATATGAAGTCCTGTCGATAAGAATGAATTAAGTCACAGCGAAAAATAACCACGTGATCAATTTAAGACTCTTCCATCTTAATCAATGATGTCAAGTTCGAATAGCTCGCATAGCTAGTATGTAGTTGTGTTAGGAATGGAAAGAACACAAGATTATGGCACGAATGATCCTTTTCTTAGGTAAGATTAGACCAGATTTTTCTTAAAAACTAAGTTAGTTCAATTCTTTTATCAAAGTCTATTTAATTAGACTAACCAAATCTTAAATTATTTAAGAAATTGAATTAAGAGTAATATCTTGACCTATTTAAATAAAAATTAATAAAAATTCTTTATTTTTATATCAAATTTGTTATTATAATGTATTAAAATTATATGTTTATTTATCTTTCTAAATATCTAGTATGTTGACTTATATAAAAAGTGAAACTTATAAATTTATTAGATAATAAATTTTTATGTATTATTTAAAGATTTTATTATAAAATATATTTTTAAATAAATTATTGTCATGAATTTGATTTAGATCTTAAAAAATTGTTTACATTGTATAAACAAATTGAACTCGATTTTTATAAAACTTTGATATCTATTTTTACATATCTTAGTGCTAAATTATTAAAAAGTAGGTTCTTAAACGTTTTATAAATTAAAGAAAATCTTGTAGGTTAAATTATACTTTTATGTAAATTAGATTAGACTTTTATAAAGATATTTATGAAAAATAAATAAACTAATATTTATTTCCACGTGATTTTAAATGATGCAATATGTTCACGGCCAATTTTTTTCACTAAAAAGGAAATGAAAATTAAAAGTGCATATCGAATTCATTGAAGGAAGTGCAACTAAAATAAAGGGGAAATTACAAAAAGATAAATTAAAAAAAAAAAAAAAACTTTGAAAGGAACTAGAGCAAACATACGTACCAAACAATAACCAGAGGATGGAGATAGGAACACAGAATACGCTAACATACACTGAGCCTCTCGTTAAGAGAAGGGATATCAACAATTATTTTGGTTTTCATATTACTCCAAATTATATCAATATTTGATGTTCCATTTTATATTATGAAACCATGATTATGTGATTCTTTTTCCTTCAAATGTACCATGATTATTGCTATTTGAAAGCCTTGCAAATATTTACACAAAAATACATGTCAGAAAAAAAAAATGTTTGACAATTTTGTCAACACCCACCTAAATTAAAAAACAACATGAAAGAAAATCACTATAATTTTCACTTACAAAATCAAGCCCCACTAAAAGGATAAAATTAATTAACTCCGAGAGTTAAAGTTTTATTTCGATAATACAACATTAATATTTAATAAACTTCTAGTTTTATTTGTATATATTAATGAAATGAAACTTTAATTCTTATTAAAAAAAAATAAGAACAGCAACACTTGTAGTACAATATGCAAGTTTTCTTTTATAAACATTGATTTCGGTTAAAATTAGATTTAAGTTAAATGTTTTTATTCTCAGAACAAGTCAGTTATATAATTCAGCTAGACAAAAAAACATGATGGTCAAATCGTAATGAAATTTTGATATAAAATAAATCGGATATATTTTCTCTCATATAAAATCATTGCAAATTTTCACTCTAAAAGATATGATTTCTACATACCGATAAAAAAATATATATGATTTTGGTATATCCTTTTACTCTCATGTGCATGCACATTGAGATTATTTTTTTAATTATGAAATTGGTACGAAAAATTTATCGTTAAAAGTATTATAAATACATATAAAATTAATAATTTTTTCTTCACATAATTTATTCCATATTTAAGGTTAAAACAAGAATCCTAAATGATTTGATTAAAAAATACAAGTTATTACCAATTATATGAATCCATATTTATACTCTTTGATACATAATGTACTTTAAAATAAACCATATTAAATTCAACTACCTTTACCTTGTTCCATCCTTTTTTTTTTGTCATCATAAATTATATGGAAGCTTGTGGAATTACCATTTTGATCAAACAAGTGTAATTAAATTCTATAAACATTTTTAGTAAAAAAATAACTTGTAAAGAAAAACTATTTACTAACCTCGAGTAATTTTTATCACGTAACTATAATTCCATACGATATCTTAGGATGCATTAATTATCTAGAAAAATATGTTAGAAATTAGAGGAAAAGAGTAAAAATTAGATTGATTATTTCACAAGATAAAAATAATTAAGGTAGGAAATAAAAAGATATGAATTCCAATGCTTTATATTTTCACGCCGAAACCAGTAGAAATAGTGAAGAAATGACATTATTTGCTGGATTTTGTGGATATTTTTTCGGAGCATAAAAAAATCTACGTGTTATATTTTTTATTGCTTGAGGCAGTCAAGACTCAAGATACCGCCACAATCATTTTTCTTAATTTTTTTTTTGACAAATACCGACGACTTTAAGTCGCCACAAAGTGTATACTAGATTAAAAAAATAAGCGTAATTGATTAAATTCTAAAATACACATAGGGTTAAAAATAAAATCTATTATTATTTTTTTATTTTTTATATATCTCCTCTCTATTTCTTTTCTATTTTTCTTAGACAAAACAATTAAATTTCTGCTATACTTAGGGGGTGTATTGGATTAGGATTTTAAAGGACTTTTTTAGTTGAAAAAAGTCTTGTGGATTTTAAAAAACTTTGCAAGATTTTCATGACTTTTAAGATTTTGTAGGATTACACAAGACTTTCAATCAGGATTTTAATGGATTATGCAAGATTTTTAAGTTAGGATTTTAATGGATTCTGCGGGACTTTGTGAACTTTGCAGAATTTCATAAATTTTTTAAATAGGATAAGAATTCATGATTTTTTTTTCATACATTCAAATTTAAAAGAGTCAAATATAAAAATAATAAAAATAATAATAATGTCTGGATAAATAAAAATAATATTTTTTCGTAATATCATGTCGTTCTAAATAGAATTCACCCACATATTCATAGCTATACTAGTTCTCCAAACATTAGTATCTTTTCTCTTTTGCTCCTGTGTTTTAATAATAGGCTCAAAATTATGATTTTTATTAACTAGTAATGTTGAAGATGAAGGTTCACTTCAATTGGAAATTCATCATAATGACATTCTTTACGAACAAAGTTATCTAGTCCCACATATGCTAAAAAATATTCTAAACAACATTTCAAATTTTTTATAATTTGTGATTTAAAATATTTTATTTATAATTTTATAAATGATTAAAAAGAATAGTGGGACAAAATAATTTTTTATGAAATTTGTCAGGTACAAAATAATTTTTAATTTTTAATTATTTTTAATTATTCACTCGTGTCTTATGTTAATTTTCTTTTTTAAAATATAAAAATCCTAATTTCATAATATAAAAATTAAAAAATAAAATTCATAGTAAAAAAAGAAATAAAATAATTGTTGAGTCGTAAAAGGGGAAGGATAACAATAATAAATTCAAGAGGGAGAGAGATCGCAGTTTTTGTGCTGAGAGGGTTCTTCCCCAACTAAGATCCATTCTTATCTCATTCTACTTACAAAAACCCTAACTCAAATTCATCTTTTACTCTTGACGCGTGTTATAAAAAAAGTTAAAATTTCAAGTATTTTCTGTGTTATATAACTAGGGAACAATCTCAATTGAATAGACTAAAATAGAGCAAGTCAATTAAAGAGAACGGAAAGAAAAATAGAACAAGTTAATGACACTATCATTTACGTATAGAAGTTTCACCAAATAGGAGAATGGCATGAGAATAGTAGTACAATATTATATACAAGTAGTAGTGCAATATTATTAACAAGAGAAAAAATGGAGAAGACATGAACATAGAAAAAAAAAAGATGAAAAACTCATTTGTAAATTCTTGAAGCACTTGAAAAGTCACTTCAAACAATCCTTCAAAATCTTATGGGTTTGGATGAAATTGCTTTATGAATTTGGTATTTATAGATACCACTAAAAAGTCCATCAAAATCCCTCTAATACAAAAATCCTTTAAAATCCCTATATTTTTGAATACCAATGAATTGTTTTTAAGTTGTAAAAAGTCTCAAATGAATACCAATGAATTTTAATGGACTCTTTAAAAAATCTTGAAAATCCTGATTGAATACCACTGGATTATTTTTAAGTGATATAAAATCTTGATTGAATACCAATAAACTTTTTTACTCAAAAAAAGTCTTTTAAAATCCTATGAAATCCTAAACCAATACACCCCCCTTAATTTTATCTATTTCCTTCTTTTTTTTTCTTTCTACTTTATTTCTTACATTTTTTCCCATTCTATTTCTCATTTGTTTCTCTTCTCTTCTATATTCAAAATATTTCTCTCCACTCTATCATTTTGTCCTTTGTGCTTACAACAAATTAAAACAAAATTAAATTTATTAATAGAAACAAAAAATATTTATAAAATAATTATTTTATTTTAAAGAATGAAATAAATAAGTTAAAATTTTATTAATATTTTACAATTTATCCTAAAATTTATTTTGAGTATTTATTGATTCTATTTATTAATGTTTTCATGTTCTTTAATTTATATCTTTTTTTACTTAAGAATATTTGTGGCACTTTTAGATATACTTATTTCTATTGATGATTAAATGAAGAGGATGATGTTGAATATTGATATATGGTTTAGGCTTTTCACATGAAGGAACTAAGGAGCCTAAGAGATCAAGAAGAAATCATGTTATTGTAATAGTGTAATTAATTTTCAAGGTCTTAAATGTTTAAGCCTTGGTAAAGTGAAGTTTATCCTCTGATCTCAAAAGTTTCTAAAACAAGGACTAAAAGAGTTAAAAGAACAAAGTCTTTTTATAAAACTAAAATCAACCAAGCACCAAAAATTTAAGTTTAAGAAAAATGAGAATATTTAGAACAAAATTTTCTAATTTAATTGATTACAAGAACAAAGTAATCAGTTACTTGTATATTTGATTTTTTGACAAGACTAAATATTCTAATGAAATTGATTATATGAATGAGCTAATTGATTATATGATTTTCTGACAAACCAAATTATTTTGATGTGATGAATTACAAAAACAATTTAATCGATTATATAAAAGTCAAAGTGTTTTTAGAAAATGTTTTAAATATGAAATTCGATCATAAGTTTCAAAGTATGAATCAAGTTTTCCAACATTAGACCATGTTTCATGTGTAATGGATTACAAAATCTTTGTAATCGATTACACACAAAAAAATAAGTGTAATCTGGAAGACAAAAAGTTTTGTTTTAATTGATTATATAATGATTTAATCAATTACATTACACATATTCTAGTTCTAGAATGTAATTATGATAAATATAATCGATTATATGATTAATTTAATTAATTACATCAATCTTATGTTTTTTCTAAATAAACCCAAACACAGTTCATTTTCAGGATGAGTTCAAATATGTTCAAAAACACGTGTGGAACTTTTTGAGAGTAAAAATACATTTTCTTCAAGAAAGTTCAAGATAGAAAACATGAGTGCAAAAGTTGAAAAAGAGAGAATTCATCATAGAAATGCTTTGAAGCTTTCATTTATTAAGAAAAAGTTGTTTTTAATGTCAAGAAACTTGTAAGATCAAGCAAAAGCTTCACTACTAAGGTCATTTCATTCTTTGTTATTCTTTTCAAGAAATCAATGTAGATTTCTTATGTTGGTTTTTGAACTCCATTTAAGAAAAATGTTCTCAAGATAAAGGTTTTTAGGTGTACAAGTCAGGGAAGAATTCCTTAATTAGAATTTAGTCAAAAGTTTATGTAAGGATTATGAAAGTGCCTAAGATCAAGGGGAGTGATTAGTTGACTTGGTTTATATTCCATGCTTGTTTATAATAATAATAAAATAACTATCACTACAAAAAAAAAAATAACCTATGCCTACAGACGCTTTTACCTATAGACATGAATTAGTGTAGGTAAAACTAAAAAAAAAAATTTACTTACAAATGTTTAATGTAGGTATAACTCAAAAATCTATACCCACTTTTGTTTGGTGTAGGCAAAACTCAATACAACTTAAAGTTCTTCTACCAACAAATTGTCAATGTAGGTAAAAGCCTTCAAAGACTTATGCCTACTACTACTTTAGGTAGGTAAAAAATTTACAAAATTTATATCTACAATTGTTTAATATAAATAAAAATCCACGTAAAACAAATAAATAATTATATATAAGACTAATTAATTTCATAGAAAATCAATATCAATACAAAATATATAATTAAAAAATAGAATTAAATAACCAATCTTTAAAAAATAATTAATTAATAAATTAAATAAAAATGTATCAATTAACAAATCAATAATTAAAACATTGAAAAGTTTATATATATACTGCAGTGGTATAATGCAGTGTGTGAGCCCAAAACGCACCATATTAACAAACCAATTACACCATTCTTTCTCGCTGCACCCATTCCTCGCTCATGTCTCCGTTCTGAGTCTCGAATCATGTCTCCGTTCTGAGTCTTGAAGTTTGACGTACAACCTTCAAATGCTTCTTCAATATTGTTTATTCAGAGGTTTCTTCATCATGAATTTGCATATCTCCTACAACTTATTTGTTTCTTCTAATCTAGGTTTTTGGTTCATATAATCCCAAGTCCTCTATTTCATTGCACCTTACTTTCGAATTTTATCTCGTACTCTTTTTCCTCTTGAGTCTAATGTATGATTCGTTTATTGGTACTGAGTTTGCTAACAGATGTCGAAGAAACACTCATAAATCTCGTATTCGAACGTTCACCAGTTTGTCAATAGGTATTTTATATCTTCTCACTCTTGAATTCTTCCTATGCAGATTACATTTTAAGAATCATATTTATACTCTTAGATTCTTCTTTGATAGATTTTCAATTTCATATTTTATAAGCAATATATATTATATATTTTTCTCCTGTAGTATATCTGTTATAATAAATTGCATGCGTTGTTTGCATCTATTTTGAACTTTGTTATTACTCTGTTGTGAAAATTATTTTTCTAGGCAGGATGTAGGTTTTTTATTATACTGTCTTGCATCTATACTGTCATGTATATACAAAATTAACACACTAAGAGTGCAAGCAGAACGAGCCGTTTTGGTTTTAGAACGGGCCATTCTGGTTTCATATGCATTAAAGAAATTTGGCATCCACATGCCATCCACGTGGTCAACAGTCAACTCCGTTTAAATAATTTGAACGAAAATCCGACATTACAGTAATTTAAATTATTAAGGACCAAATTAAAACAAAAAATTAAAGTGAAACTAAATTAAAACAAAAAAAATATTATAAGGGATCAAATTAAGTTTTTAACTTAAAAGTATTAACCATGTTTATCCAAAGAATTGAATAAAAAAAGTGTAATTAAAAAGAATGTTTACTAAAAAATAATTAATCAAATCTATCGACAAAAATAAAGAATATATATATTAAGAAGAAAATGACACCATCTGTTCAGCCTCTTCTCTTGTTTAAAATTTTTTTAAAAAAACAAATATTTAATTTATAATTGTGAATTATTTAGCGTGAAATTTATCAAAAAAAATGATAAAAGAAAACAATCATTTACAGAAAATATAAAATATTTACTTTAAAAAAAGGCTATCACTTTTATTACAACAGTCACAGATATATCTGGCACACCACAAAGAAGTGAAGGGAAATTAGTCAAATTACAATATCCACAGAGGCTTTCTCACAGCCACATATCACACCAAACCACAACGACACAATTCTAAAATAATAATAATAATAATATTATTATTATAAATTAAAAACACTCCTTCCACAGAGAAAAAAAAAATGCTCTTACGTGGCAGTATGGCCGCCCCTCCCCGGCCGTCGCTCCGCCTGCCGGGCGCGCGGGTCCAGCCGCGGAGCGTGGCGGTGTCGGTGGCGTCGTCTTCCGGCGGCGGCGAGCGGTATCCGCTGTCGATCTCCGACGAGGCGCTGGAGTCGCGGGGGTTCGCGGTGCGGCGCGGCGCGGAGGGGCTGGACCTGGAGGAGCTGAACGCGGTGTTCGTGGCGGTGGGGTTCCCGCGGCGGGAGCCGGAGAGGATCCGCGTGGCGCTGGAGCACACGGAGGCGGTGGTGTGGGTGGAGCAGCGGAAGACGCGGCGCGCGGTGGCGTTCGCGAGGGCCACCGGCGACGGCGTCTTCAACGCCATCATATGGGACGTCGTTGTGGACCCCTCCTTCCAGGGGATTGGCCTCGGCAAGGCCCTCATCGAGAGGCTGCTGAGGGAGCTTCTCAGTAAGGGAATTTCCAATATTGCCCTCTATTCGGAGCCTCGGGTTCTCGGGTTTTATCGCCCATTGGGCTTCGTTGCTGACCCCGATGGGATCCGGGGAATGGTGTACTCCAGAAAACAAAACAAAAAATAGGACCTTTCTTCCTTCTCTATTTTCCTTTCTTCTTTCTTCATTTCTGAATTTGATTTATGTGTAGTGAGGGTGTGTGTGTTTGGTGTCATTTTGATCCCCCTTAGGGCATGTTCGTATGATCCTTGAGTTTCGTTGAAAAAACATATATATTTAATTTTGTGAAATAACTTTTATGTTCAATGAAACAGAATGTCGTAAAAGAAGCACATTGTTAGTAGTTTATGTCAAATTATTCACTTTATAAAAAAAATATATTTTAAAATTATTAATATTTATTAAATTCATTGATTTTATACTTAAATCTTCTAACTTTAAGATTGTAAGATTGAATCTTGAGTTTATAAAAGTAATAAATTTTTAATATTATTTTTTATTACTTAAAAAATTTAAAGATAAAATC